CACTGTTTCTTCGTCCATATAAGAAGGCAAGGTAAGTAGAATGCGTTAGGCCTCTCATTTTAAATACGTTCACACATGACGTGATCCAATGTTATCCATGAGCATCCGCCGGGACAGCAGGCACGCCGTACGAGTGGATCGCCACAACTGCAATACGATCTTTTTCGCGATAAATTTGGTATCCGACTCATCTCACCATCTTTGCAACGAGTCAGCATTATGCCGCTTTCGCCATAAATCAGCACTCCACACCGAACTGCATCTTTTACAGCAGAGACTTTTCTTTTACAAGACACCCTGTGTTTCTACACTCATGTACCAGAAGATGCTGATAGCTTCCAGGAAAATCTCCCAAGAAATATATATATTTCTCACCATTTTTGTGAATATTTTCATGGCGAGAAACGGCTTAAAATGGTCGGTCATTACAGAAGTAAAATGACTGATGAAATTTCAAATCCATAGGCTAAACAGACACAGCCGGTATCACAGAAAAAATCTACGGGATTGTGCAGCACGCGGTAGAGCATGGACGCACCACCCTCCGACTGTCAGAGTGTACGGGCATAATCAAAGAAAGACACTGGCAACACAGATGTGTCTAGGAGGCATTAATCATCTAGCTCTGCGAAAATTTCAGTCATGACGAAGGACACAATCACTGTGAGGGCTGAATTAGTATAGACACCTATAAACTATTTAACCAGGAGCACAAGTCAAATGCTGGCCTTTCGGCTTCAAACCTACCAACCGCGGCTGACAAACAAAATCTCCGAAACGTTACCAACCGACTACGTTGAAGAGGTTCTTAAGATACGAGTCAAAACGTCGGCTGTGATAAATTATCCGACTGACATTATTTTTAGCGATGTGTATTAGCATAGCGTGTTTCACGCTGTTTTCCAGTATGACCACCAACACACGAACAAAATTCTCTATCCTATAGTTTTGATTACAACGAACCACATGTACTCATTGCAACGCACGAATTTCCAACTGGTAGCGTCTACATCTTAAAATTCTGCTCGGTATCGATTTCGTAACACAGCTAATCATTCCAGAGCTATGCACATCACTTTAATAGGAACTTGATTGCTATTTTCTTCTGAACATGGCACGATCGGCTTCACTTATCTCAAAAATTTTTCACAATCGAACATGTAACTTCAGAATTTGCTGAAAAACTTC